TCTCGAAGCAATGTTGTAAAAGGAAATATCATAATTTTTATTAACAATAGCTTTTATTAAATTAAATCAATTGCATTTGCTTTGCTACATTATTCAGTGTACATTATGTCATGCGTCCGATGAGGTGTTGAGTTGTGGTTGGTGCTCTCGTGTAAACAAAAATTTTAGAAATATCTGTCTATGAACTTACTGAAATGACTTCGTTTAAGTATATAGAAAATTATTGACGAATGTTTTAATTAATTAAATGACAATCTAATCTTCAAACAGTTCTTTATCATTGGAACTAAGTTGATTATAAAATAATACATCGTTGTATACAACAGTGTGTCTGTGATAACGGGATGTTATGAATTAACTTCTGGGTACTGATTACTTACCCGTATTATATTTCCTACTATTAAGATTATAAGAAGGAACAGCTTTTCTAAATTGATATTTTGGGTTTAATTTCCATGATCGTTGCATACCGTATTTTATGATGCAGGCGAAATGCAACTAAAATCTCAAATACGGACTTTGCATTCAGTTTTATGAGTCGCAGTAATCTAAGTTACAATCTGTTTATTGAATCTAAATAGGCTTTAAAATTCAGCCATAGATAGAAATCTAATATGAAACGATTGAATCAAAGAGTGCATTATATAAAAGGAGTCTGGTTATACATAAAAGGCAATTGTGTTTATTGTTATAAAAGTTATATATTAATGACATGTTACGTGCCACCTTAAATACAACCGAAAAGGTTGCACGTAACTTGTCATTAATATGCGCGACATCCGGACTCCAGTTAAATTTATGCACAATTAGAACATATAATTAGTAATGTTCGCTGTATTTATGATGAATTCGTTGACATTAATTTACTTTTTATATAAATCGAATGGTGTTTCTTTTATTGCAGTGAATCTTGTCAAAAACCTTCACTTGTTCTATTTGAATCGACTCATGCGAATGTTCCCTGTGTTGGCTACAGCAGTACTCATGCAAGCATCCTTCCAGAATAGGGTAACGGATGGCCCACACTGGTATTTAAATGCACGAAATACGAATAACTGCAGGCAGTACTGGTGGACGACATTATTATATATACAAAATTTAGTAAATCCTCAAAATATGGTTGGTATTAAAATCTGCTACATGACACTACTAAAATACTTTGTCGAGATATTATCAATATAAGACTTTTTTATTCAATTCACAGTGTTTAAGCCACACCTGGTATTTGGCAATTGATATGCAGATGTACATAATATCACCATTAGTACTATTTTGGGTTCTCGGCGGTAACAAAAAGTCTGGATGGATGTCATTAGTTGGCGCACTGATAGCTGTAATTACTGCGTCAACGATCTACAATTTCTTGATGGAGTTCCAATCCGCCACTGTTTCCTTATCGTAAGTAAATCTTTATCAAGTGGGCCTACTTTATCAGAAATAATCAATTGTCATGTTTTTATATTTGATGCATGACTCCGCAAATCTAAGCATCGTACGAATCCCTAGTGCATTTATTCTACTAATATTCTTTCTCTCAACAACGCTTGTTATAGCATATCATACGTTTGCGTTTCGATCAGCACCGCATTGTATCTAGCGAGCTGCTCTTTCTGGATTTAGGTAAGGTTAGGTTACTGCAAAGTCAAAGTAAAAATAAACTTTATTCAAATAAATTTCTTAAAAGTACTTTTACTGCAGAGCTAAGTCTATTCTACAATTTATCAATATGTGGGCCCCACTGTAGTTTAGAATTTAAGGTTATTCCTAAAAATACTTTAATATCCACAACGCCCTTATTCTCATCTTTTATATTAACATTTATATCTACTTTTTTAACATTAGGTAGTACAAATTGTAGGAATTTTGTTTTTCCTTCATTAAGGAGAAGACTGTTTACATTAAACCAATGTACTACTTTAGCGGTAGAATTGTTCACATCGTCATTTACAGGTAGCTCTCTTTTAATTTTAAACAAAAGTGTAGTGTCATCCGCAAACAAAACTATTTCGTGATTATAGCTTACGAAAGAAGGCAAGTCATTTATTTAAATTAAAAACAAGAAAGGACCAAGTGTTTAGCCCTGCAGAACACCCATCTTAACTTTCGATCCAGGGGATCTTTTGTCATTGATATCAACCCCCCGCACTCTGTCAGTCAAGTATGTGGCTATAAAATCCAATGAGTTATCTCCAAATCCATAGTAATGAAGTCTCCTTATCAATGTTTTATGAAAAACACAATCAAATGCCTTAGATAGGTCACGTAAAACACATAACGCATCTTGTGAATCCTCCCAGGCATTAAAATTTTCTTGTATTAACTCGACACCGGCCTCGGTTGTTATTCTTGTAAAAGTATCTTTGTATTTGATTGTAAAAGTAGCATGGTTTTTTTTAAATATTACTAAACGTAGGAAGCACGGGTATAGGTCTAAAGTTAGTAGGGTCAGATGTGCTACCCGATTTATGTAAAGAAGTTTACCCAACATTCCTTTTTTACTGTTACCAGCACCCACTCTCTTTTCTATGTCAGTAGCGTACTTTTAAATTTTGTAATAGAGTAACGCTCACAGATCGTATTAGTAATGAAAAGATAAGAAAGCAAGTTGATTTCACAGATAGCGTTGATGTAAAAATGAACAGAAATATGCTCACTCGGCCCGTAAACGTAGAATGGCAATAAATAAATAAATATTAGACAATATCACATACATTGCTTAGATTCCAAGATGAGTAGTTAAAGACCGTGTATTATGGAATATCTGGGACAACGAAGGTAACACAATACACAGACCCGAGACAATATATATAGAAAAATTTATTTTGTACATTGACTCGGCCAACGAAAGACTAGAAGAAGACCTTTCATAAATCTATCTCGTGCTGTTGGAAACTGATGTTAGAAACCATAAAAACCAGCTGGCATGTATGAAAAGTACCCTGTGATAGATTACTACAGTGCTATTTATTACAAATGATAATGACTATGATGTTGACTGGTTTGCACAATTCGAACCTTTATTGTATATAATCCGATTTCATGTTAAAAATTTGTACAATAAGGCTATGCTTTAACATATTTAAATACTTTATGATTGCAGTCGAACATCTGAAGAATCATCACGATATCTATATAAGTACTATGTTTTTACTCTAACTCGTGCGGCACCATTCTTTGTAGGAATGTTATTTGGATATATATTACACTTGTGCAAAGGCAAAACAATCAGGCTTCCGAAGGTAAGATTTATTGATAATAGTTTTACCTTTTATGAAATACGATATTCATTCTAATTGAAAAATCTATAAATTTAGCGTATTTTAAACTTTTTTGGTATAATTTTAATATTTGAATAAGATCTAAATCAAATTATTTTCACCTCGAATTAAGAGACAATGAGCTATAAACTCGTATATAGTTTCATTTTATCGTTTTTCAACAGCTTTGTAACAGTTGAATAAATATACAAACGGGGTATGTTAAGCCAACATTTGCAACACTTAAATGAATGTCAAGAGGTCAACCTCGAGACAAAAAAATCGTATACTTACAATACCTATGTAAGTATACGATTTTCTCATGTAGTGGTGGATCTCTTTTTGTGTGACCTCTTTTTGTAGGGGGCAATGAGATCAAATGTCATAGTTGCCCTAAGATATAATCACGAGGTTCATATTATTACGATTGTAAGGGATAAACCGAAAAAGACCGATCTAGCTTAACGCGGGAGATTTTTTGAAATCCTTTCCATTTTTTATATTCTAACAGATAGGGGAAATAAAAAAGGCGATTTTTTATTTAAACCATGAATACAGAATATCTTTCTTTTTTATAAAGATTGTAGTATCTCTGCTATGGATACTCGCTGGTGCAACTTCTACGACGATATTTATCTCCACCTACTACACCATCCAGCCTGATTGGAAAAATCAGACCGTAGATAATATCTTAAATTCTTTCATGAGACCAGCTTGGGCAGCAAGTATTGCATGGCTGACTTTCGCGTGTGCTAAAGGCTACGGAGGTATGTTTACTCAAACATCTTCATCACGTTGCTTTGAGTATTTTTGCATATACAGACGAAAGCACTAAAGAATCAGATACTGTATGTTTTCCTAACCAAAGTTTTCGGTAACAGCTGTCGAGTTATTTTTTGATAATAATAGAAAGTGGAAAATATGTATCATGCAGTAATAGTAAGTAACTTCATAGTGTCACGGGTTCGGCGCTAGTTGTTGGTTAGTAAATGAAACGGCTAACTAGGCTTGATCAGTTGGTATAGGCTAAATAAAAAAGTGTAACAACATTATTATATTCAATTTTGCATACACAATGCTTTACTTAAAAATATTCTTAATGAAAAATGCTTGAACAATTAATTTTATCCACTTTGTGTCTGATACTCTGAGATTGGACTCGAACCCATAACCTTTCGCAATAAGGGCGACTGCTCTAACCGACTGAGCTAGCCAAGACCTAATAGGACTGACAAATTTTTCAAGCACTTGTTATTTTTTCGCTACTACATAGCTTGTTTTCTTCAATGTTCAGGCAATCCACCCAAGAAGTCGAAAGAAATATTTTTACAAATATTTTTAGAGTTAGAATAAAATTTGATCTTCATCGAAAGTCGAAATTTTTTACGAACTTGATATTCAGGAAGAGCATATTACGTTAATCCAAATTTCAAATTACGAAAAATTCATAATAAAAAAGAAATGATGTTAAAAGTTTGGATGCGGAAAAATAGGACAAAATAAACTGTGGAGTCTTATGAATGAATTTCTTTTTCAATTGGATTTGTCTACATTAAATATACAAGGAAAAAATCAGTGCTTGCTGAGTTTCTTGCTGCTTTTCCAGTACAAGCTCTACCACCATAGATTTGCAAACCGATGGCATAGCTTTCGACTTTTACCAGTGCTTGTAAAAGCCCAGACTGAATAAATTATATTGAGTTTGAATTTCACGTTGTCATATTATTATTTTTTGTGTTTCAGGTCCAATTAACTGGCTCTTATCATTACACATTTTCAAGATCCTGGGTCGTCTCTCATACGCGATGTATATTCTGCATTATCCACTTATTTACATCATTAATGGCACAACGCTTGCACCTATATTTTTCTCAGTTGAATACTCAGTAAGTCACCATTTAATTGTTATTTCATTATTATTTTTACATTTAATCCTTTTGCATTAGTAGTTTGAATGCAATAAACATGTTCTGAGAGTTAACGGAGATTATTTTTGGTATGATAACATATCCTTGATAATGGATTCTGCAAACTCCCAATGAACTCACTTGACTGTTCTTGTTTCTTGATTATACTTTAGGTTTCAGTTTCGAATTTTAATTCATTCGTAAATAAGGTACTAATGTAATTTAAGTTTCCAATTGTTGTGCATTCCGTTTGTTTATATTGAACTTTTTGATCAGTTATACTGAGTGCTCATTTTGCATTAAATGTAGGGAGCATACAACTGAAAAAATATTTAAGTTCCATATTTATTTAGGTATATAGTGTTAGTTTAAAAAAACATTTCAGTCAATTATGAATTTTTTGGGATATTTTTTATCAAATCAACTATCAATTTGTATTTTCTAGATACTTAATAATTATTTTGCGATTAAAACAAAAAAATAATAATAAATAATATATTTTTAGCTACATCGTACCATCATTGACATCATGGTAGCGGTAATCGCAGCTTACTTACTAACTATACTCATAGATATGCCATGTTCGCAAATCATCGGTATGGCGTTAGGAGGTGAGATAATTTTATATATTTTTTTTATCATTATTTCTGAAGTAAAGAATCAGTAACTATCAAATATTTTTATGTTAGTACTTATTAAAAAATATAAGAAGTAAAATTTTTCTTTGTCGGGATTTATTTTTAATTTTTCAGCGCAGTTTGTTTACATATATTTATTATGAATGTATAACTAATACTAAATTAAACTAGATTTATTTAGTGTATTATAATCTTTTATTATTTTATTTATCAAATAGGTGAGTATCAAACACAGTAAAATATGAGTTGACTAAGTAGATTTAATTTTTTTTTTATTTCCAGGGCGAAAAGACCGTAAGAAAAACGATGCTAAGAAAAACGACGAACTAATAAAAGATGCCAGCATAGCACCAAGCACTGAGGTCGTCAATTCAAAGCTATGATTCAAAAATACAAATTGTATCTAAAGCTTTAGAAAACGGAAATAACAAGATCTTTATAGCATCGATAATTTTAATTTGATTGTGTGTTTTAGATAGAAAATATAGTTATAACTTTAGATGTGAAAATTTTATTCGGAATGTAATCTTAAATTCGTCTAGATAAATATTTGATAAAACAGTCTATGAGATTGCTGATTTTTTCCGATAAACATCATAGATAATAGTGTAGTCGATTACATGTAATGTAAATGAAACATAATAAACATTTCGATTATCAAAGAAAACTTTTATAATAGTAAGTTGGTTGCAGTTGCAGTTTCATGATTATCAGATAAAGCAATTATGTATAGAAGACGTTCTTACGTTGTCTCTTTATATATTAGAGATACCTTAGAGATATTTTAAGTTAAGAACTGTAAAACGGGTTATTTTCAATCGAAATTATATTATTTTGTTATCTCTTTTTATTTTTAGTAGGCAATAAATATATTTACTTCCTAATTTTTGAAATAAAACTATGTAATGTTATTTTTTTATGAATCTAAGCATTAAGTTATTTTTTATGATTAATTATACCTATTATTTGTATATGCAGCAAAATATTGTTTTTTTTTTATTTATGATTTTTTTTTTTTATTTCCCATTTTAATACGTGACTTGATAATTTACTATTATTTTAATATTTTCTGTCGAAAAACGGTCGCTCACTTATGTATACAGTGGGTATAAGTTTTTACTCCGTTTCGCTTCTTTACTTAGAATGATGTATTCAGTTTATCTCCTTTTGAGTTGATCGATTCTAGTTTTGCATCTTATATAGATACTCCTGACTGATTCATATTGTTATGTAAAGGAAAACTTGTGATTCATCTTACAAGTTTTCCTCTATATAGTTTCGTCAAAGGTTTCTCAGTCATATATGTTGCAGGGGAGGATAAACGTATTAAATGTCTTTCTCTTGGTCTATATGCCTAGTGCCTAGTTCTTTGCTTTTCATGATTTCCTTAAAATCCCAATAGTTTTTCCATCCATTAGCCAATATAAGGATTTATATATTTTTTTTAGTCATTTGGTCACTGGGCGACATTATCTAGCCTAGTTATACATGATAGATTACACATTAGAGTTTCTGACAATTGATAATTATATCTACAGTTATATATAATTGGAATCTCGGGAATAGCTCCAATGATTTTCATGAAATTTGATATGCAGGGGGTTTTGGGGGAGAAAAAAGATCTAGATAGGTTTCATTTAAAAAAAAAGTCAATCAATTCGATTTTTCTTTTAATAAATGCTACAATATCATGAGAATAGCAAGGTAAGTTTTATATTGTCTAAAAGATTGTAATAAGTTAAAGGGGATGTCGTGAGATCCCAAACGATCTGAAATTGAAAAAAAGACCGGCAGAACCTGAAACCAGAATACGTACAGAATCGAGTCCGTTGACCGATTATTTTTTACATTTTTTTTAAACGCGGTAATACATTCATAGAGTTAAAAAATTATGGTAGACATAATATTGATTAAGAAACAGATATACCTATTTGGAAACTACTGATCGGGACCAACTTATTGCTTTACCACACGAATTAAATTGAAGAAATGGGATTCATAAAGTTGTTGACTGATCAGAAGGACTATGCCATTGTGTAAGACTCGTTGTAACAAATCTCTGCAATCACAATTAATCAAGACGAAATATCTCGTCTCTAACGCCTCCATCAGTTTCTCATAGGAAGCGTCTTGACCTAGTATCTCCAGGACGATCAAGGTCTGATTACGAAAATTCAGCGCCAGCGCAGTCCGTGCTTGCTCCTTAGTCCAGCCATTTGTCTCCATGACCATGCGAAACTGGATTTTATACGAGACTATGATGACGTTCCATCGAACGGAGATGTTCTAAATTTGCCAGGTGCAGAATTCGATACCGCTGACACAAAAACGCCACACCCTGTTTTCAGATTGCCTAAAGTTTACTTACATCTGCAATCGCACTTTTTTGTAAAAAATTAAAATCCCGTTTTAAAAATACAGAAGTTTTACCGGGACGGAAACCAAATGTAACATTTTATAATTTTTCACGATTCCCCATAATCCTCATTAAACTGTATTATTAAAAATTGAAAACAAAAGTGACTTTGTTTGTATTCGGAAAAATTAATAGAGTTTAATAAATACCTATCTAGCGACGGAAAAGCTAATGTAATATTTTATATTTTTGTTCGATTAATAGTTCCCTATTAAATTGTATTATTTAAACATTTTTTTATTTGTTGTATTGATAGTCATAAACTGTACAAAATAAGTATTTGTTTATACTAATATTATCAAAGAAATCCCTATAGTTAAACAATCACAAAAACCAGCACATAAAGGGATAACAATAGGAGTGAAAGTTTGTATAGGGAATTAAAACGTTACCATTGATTGCTGTTATCAATAAATAAAATAACGCTGATAATAAGCTGATAACGCAGAAGTAAATAATTTTTAAGTTATGTAAACAAAAACTTTACGTTCAGCTCGCGTCACCAGGTAGTACTACTGTATTTGAAATGAGATTTCATTTTTATGTAATGCTTCTAGTTTTTATTGTTTGTCCGATTTCCATCAAAGTCGCCTTCATCTTCAATGATCTTTTTGAATAATAAAATGCTCACGTTGCTAGATAACGCTACTATATTTTTAAAAACGATTTTGATTTGTTGTAATTTTGTTTTATTGCTTAACCGATTTTTTATCAAATATGGTCGTTTTCGTTTTTGACTTTGCGGTTTTTGTTTAAAGGTAAACCACGATTTTCGTAAATTATATTTAAATAACCAGTTCTTATTTTTTTAAGTCAGTAAGATTGAAAAATATTATTCTTATTTTAGTCATACTTTACAATTTACAAAAAACACGAATTTCCAAAAAGAAGAATGAGCAAAGCATGATCATCCAGGTACCTATTTTAAAAGACAAATTCAAATACAAAATAATTATTATCAAAATTATCACTAAAGATAAGATATCCCTAATACTGAAACGTGTAAACATAAAACTATAGTTAAATCTTCAATGTAGGTTGCTGAACTTGACACAATTAAATTATCAAAGTTTTATTGACGAACCATTTCATTTATAATAAAAAAAAATCGGTCTTAGTTTAACAATTCGTATACCGAAGCAAAACATGAGAGCAAACTAATAGGTTGTGTAATTAGTACAGTCATCAGAGTCCCCGGCCTTTATGCACCGGTGTTATGTGAGCTCCTTTCACAAATCGGTAAAGATTCTTTAGCGACTTACTATAAAAGATATTTAATATTTGGGCAAGGCTTTTAGCGCAGTTCTTAACAAAAGATGGTGGTACACCGTCAGGTCCCTTATTAACGTTGAGTGCAAGTAGTTTCTTCACAACATCATCCTCCCGATAACACGGCATCACTCATAAAATAGAATTGTACTGACCGGTGTGAGTCGTGTGTGCATTATGCTGTGTCACAAACAACAAAGAAAAGTATTCAGAAAATAAATCTGCAACACCTACGCCACCACTAGCTAATCTGTTTCCAAATCTGATGCAATTGGGAATGGAGGGTTTTTTATATACATCTATACTGCGCTTATAGGGAAGACCTGAGCCCAACAGTGGGGGCATTAGTAGACTGCTGCTGATACTGGGCTGTAATATCACCTTTCGGTTGGATACTACTCGTTGTTACCTCAGATTGAAGAAGGAAGACAACGATCCCATACCAGATTTTTTTTTGTAAGAGGGTCCTATCTAATGATATATGGTACCGATGGTACCTAAGGGTAGACCAACTCACACTTTTACCAGCCTCGGCTAGGCCAGCGGGCGGTAAACCTCGTGTGATATGTGATCGTGATCGCAAGACTATGCTAGCCGATACTCGTAACAAGTAACAATTATAATTACTGTCTAAACTTAAAAAAAAACACTGTATCTCAAGCAGAATAAAATTTCATGTCGAGAATTTTTATTGGTAGATAGGTCATTGTGGTATTGCGCTCTAGGGATGGACGTACATTTGTAGTTGCAGGACAAGCCGTAATGTTGATGTCATTTGTAAGATGTCCATACTATTACCCAGGAATTAGTAAACTGTGTTTATACATAAACAATGATTCGTTTTAATTGAGGTGTATAAGGATGTGCGTTATTTCTGTTACTCGTTGTATAAAGTCTGGAAAGATTTTGATCAAATGTATGTTTTAAGATTTCTCTTCGTCGGGAATAGGATAATAAATATTGAAATATTATATTTTATCAATAAAAATAAATTAAAAAATTCCCAATTAGTGACTTTTCATATTGAAATGCAACTGGCAATTCACGTAATGTTATCTATGTCTAAGGTCTATTTTAAATTATTGCTCATTCATTAACAGTTAGGCGTAACCAAGAAGTAATTGGGTTAAAGTATAAAATCGCCAATTTGTACTGAAAATCAAAATTGTTTAATTTTTAACAAATTTTACTTACCATTATTATTTACATTGCTGCCATCTAAAAGAAAGGTAATTTATGCCTTTGCGATAAAACTCTGAGGATCTAGACTGCACAAACTTTGTGAAAACTATAATGAATAACACCATGCTGGGACCACCAAACAGTTACCATATTTTTTTTATTGGTATGTATCGCTTTAGGACTCTGTTGTGGCTTTTGAGCTGGGTTCAGCCAATGCATTTTGCTT